GGCGAGGTGGGGGAGGGAGGATGGCAGTTACGTGCAAAGTCAACTAGCTGCTCTCCGAGGGGGAAGAATGTGGGGACCCGGCGGGGGGCGAGGGGGTGGAGGGCTGGGGGAGGAAGGGCTGAGGTCCCACCGGGGAGGGGAGGGGGCTGTCCCCTGTGGGGCCCCTCGGCCTCGGCCTCTGCCCGCCCGGGGAGCAGGGCTGGTCAGCTCTGGGGACCTGGGCTTGCATTGTTTGCAGAGATGCGTGCAGGAATGTGAGGGTGAGGGGGGGGGTAGGGGTGGGGGCGGGGGGCAGAGGGGAGGGGGCTGGGGAGCTTCCAGGGCAGCTCTGGGGGAGGGGTGGGAGGATGGGGGAGGGGGGAGCCTTCCAGAGCCCTGTTGAGCCCTGGCCGGTGTGGCACAGTGGATAGAGCGCCAGCCTTTGGACTGGGGGTCCCGGGTTCCATTCCCGCCACGAGCACGTTACCTCAGTTGCAGGCTCCTCCCAGGCCCCGGCCCTGGTTCGGGGCGCGAGCAAGAGACAGCCCATCGATGTGCTTCTCTCGTTGATGTCTCTCTCTCTGTCTCTCCCTCTCTCTGAGAAATCCGCGGGGAAGAGTTTCGGGGTGAGGACTAACAAAACAAAAACAAACACACACGGAGCTCCGGGGAGGTGCCAGGGTCCCAGGGAGGGGGCGCCGCGTGGAGACCCAGAGATTGGGGCGCGGGGACCCGGAGCGTCCGCCCGTCCGTCCGCCCGCCCGCCCACCCCAGGCCCCAAGCGCCGCGGCCGGGAAGTCCCGGCTGTTGTGCCGGTGACTGGATGGGGCGCCTCGCCGGCCGGCGGGCAGCTTCCGGGTTCCACGGGTTCCAGGGGGCAGGCACCGAGCTGGTGGCCTGGGGGCCGGTGAGGGTGAGGCTGCCTCAGGCCCCAGGGCCACGCTGAGGGGCGCTCTGACGGCCGCCTGGTTTCCTGGGAGAGTGAGGAGGCTGGGGGGGGGGGACCTCACTGAGGTCGGGGCGGTCCCTCCAGCTGCCCAGGTGGGACCCGGGCCGGGCTCCGGTCCGGGCCCTGCTCTCTGCTCCCCGGGGTGGGGTTTGGGCGCAGTGGGGTGGCGGGGGTTGCTGATTCCTCGGGCAGAGGCCAGGTGTCAGGGGTGGAGACTGACGGGGATTTCAGAGCCCAGGGAGCCTGAATCCTCGACCGACCTTTCACCCCCGCGGCCCGCGGCGACATAGCCCGGATTCCAGCGGTGTTGGCCCGAGGGCCCTCCGTGGTCAGGGAGTGAGTGGGCTTAGAGGTCACAGTGGGCTCCGGTGGGGGAGGGGACGGGGTCGGGGTTCCGTGCCCGGTGGACCCCGCTGAGGGGTGGACCCCGCTGAGGGGCGACGGCCGGCCTCCGGGGGGGGTAGGTCGGGGGAAGGGCAGGGGGGGCCCTGGCCGGCGCCTCTGTGGTTGGAGCATCCGGGGCCCCAAAGGGTCGCAGGTTCAGATCCCGGTCCCTGCAGGTCCCCTGGGAGGCCACCGGTCAATGTTTCTCTCTCTCTCTCCCCTTCCTCTCTCTCTAAAAACCAATAAGAACACATCCTCAGGGGAGGGCTTAAAAAAATAATTAAAAAGTGGGGACAGTCTGTCCTTCTTGGGCCCCCAGAGCCTTCCTGAGGGTTTTTTATTTATTTTTTATTTTAAAATATATCTTATTGATTTCAGAGAGGAAGGGGCAGGGAGAAAGAGAGAAACATCCATGATGAGAACCCTGGATCGGCTGCCTCCTGCACGCCCCACACTGGGGATCGAGCCCCCCACCCGGGCATGTGCCCTTGGCCGGAATCGAACCCGGGACCCTTCACTCTGCAGGCTGACGCTCTATCCACTGAACCACACCAGCTGGGGCCTTCCTGAGGTTTGGGGGTGAGCCAGCACGCAGGGGGGGCCTCGCCTCGTACGTATGTGTGAGCTTCTTGCTGCTGCTCCCTGTGGACAGGGGCCCTGCACCCTGCTTCGGGGGGGGGGGCGTGTGTGCCTCAGAGAGGGAAACGGGGGTACGGGAGGGGTGACCCCCCAGGGAGGAGCCTGGGTCAGGGCAGGAGGGCGAGGGGCCCCTCTCGGCTCAGTAGGGTGGTCCCGGCTGCCCCCTCCCTGGGGAATTTGGGGGGCAGGGGAGATGCAGGCGGTCCCCTCTCCCTGCCGAGCAGGAGACCCAGGCGGCCTGGGCAGGACTGTTCCGGCAGGAGGGGCGGCTCCCTGCTCCTCCCTCCGACTCAAGTCCCAACAGGCTCCTGGCTCAGGGCGGCCGCCGGGGGGAGGGGCCGGGCGGCCGGGCTGGGACCGGTGTGGGCACCGGAGCCAGAGCCGGTCCGAGGCCGCGGCAGGAGGCGCCCCGTGGCTGGGAGACCCCCCTGACCGGGGATGGGGGCTGTGTCCCGGCTCCTGGACTCAGACGCACGGCCGGAGCAGGTGAGGGCGGAGTGGGGCCTGGGGGCCGGGGGCGGCCGGGCAGTGGCCAGGACCCCGTCCCTCCCCCCGCGGTCTGCGGCCTGCAGCTGGCCGGGCCGGGGGGCGCTGGGGGATGCGGGGGGCCCCGTGGGGAGCTGTCCCTGGAGTGGGAGCCCCCAGTCTCACAGGAGGAGGGGCACGCCGGCGGGAGGCCCGGGACCTGCTTCCGGGCACAGGGAGAGGGAGGCCCCCCCGGGGCTGGGCCTGAGGGTGCGGGGGTCCCCGCCCGCCCCGCTCTGGGCTCTGCCTTTCTCCGGGGACCTTGTTCGGCCGGCCGGGCGGGCGGGCAGGCAGGTGGACGGACTGCTGCTTGGGCCCCGGACAGACTGAGGGTCTGCGGGCAGGACATTCCTGTGTGGGGAGGAGGTACAGAGCCCGAAGCCCCAGGCGCCGGCCCTGCAGGGGGAGGGGCTCCAGGGCTCTGTCGGAGGGGCCGGGGTCAGGGGTCAGACCCCGGCTCCTCTGCTCCCTGCCCCGGAGGGAAAGGAGGCCCCCGAGGCGGCTGTCCAGGGGAGCGCAGGCTCAAACCGGGGTCTGGGCTGGCCCAACCCAAGCGGGAGCCCTCAGTGGGCTCAGCATCCGGCTGGGACCCCCCAAGGCCAGTGCCTCCCCCTTGACCCCACGACTGGCGAGAGGCCTGCCTCACCCCTCCCCGAACCCCCCATCCTGGGACGGCCCCCCCCCCCCCCTCCCCGGGCGGCACAGCTCCCGGCAGCTCCTTCCTGGTTAATCATTGATGAGCAGGTGTGACGAGTGAACGCTGCTCGCACCCGGTCCTGCCTGGGCCCGGGCGGGGGGAGGGGGTGCTCACCTGCCCCCCTGTGCCCCCCGTCCTGCTCTCAGGGAGAATGCAGGGGTGCAGGCCCCCACCCCCACCCAGGACGGGGGCACCGTCTGACTCGGGGCCGGTTTGCAAAGACCTCATTTGCCTGGGACAGCCGAGTGGCGAGCGCGGGGCGCACGGTTCGGGTGGTAGCTCCCCGTGCGCTGGGGTGAGCCCCGGTGTGTGTGAGGGTCCCCCAAAGCTCTCCCTCCACTCTTCCCCCTCCACAGGCAGAGAGGGGCCCTGAGCACAGTCCCCTCCCTCGCTCCGCCTGGCCCCTTGCTCCGCCTGGCTCGGCTCTCGCTTTCTTCCCTGGGGGCCGGTGGAAGGCAGCCCCAAGGCCCCCCTGCCCTGCGTCCCCCCCACGCCCCTGCCCTGCCCCCCCACCCCCCGTGTCCCGGCCGGGGAGGCAGGATAAGCTCCAGACAGAAACTCCGGACCTGGCGGAGCTGTTGTTGCTTCACACTGACTCAGTGTGGAGGTGGCTGGCTCCCTCGGCCGCCCGCCCCGCCCCGCCCAGCCCCACAGCCCAGCGGGCGGCCAGCTGCACCCCGACCCGACCCGACGGGGCTGTGGGTTCGAGGAGGAGGAAGGGGCGGTGACAGGTGTTGCTTTGCCGACTGGAGCCGGCTGGGCCGGCTGACACCCAGCGGGGACAGCACCCACTGGGCCACCCTTTGCTCACAGCCCCAGGGAGGCAGAGGCGGGCGATCTCGCTGTCCCTGGCGGCTGCCACGCCACGCCCCGGCCCCCGTGCAGGGGCCTCCTAGGCACGGTAGGCGGCAGGGAGCTGGTCCGGGGCGCTGGGCACGCTCCGGCACCCGCCTGGACGGACGCCTGGCCGGAAGGCGGGCAGCCTGGGTGTGGGGGCAGCGGGGGGGGCCTTGTGCCCCTGGGCGTTCCGTGTGCCCCACGAGACACCGCCCCTCTGTGTGATTCCACTCCTTTTCACTTTTTAAATATATTTTATTGATTTTTTACAGAGAGGAAGAGAGAGGGATAGAGAGTTAGAAACATCGATGAGAGAGAATCATCGACCAGCTGCCTCCTGCACACCCCCGCACCGGGGATGTGCCCACAACCAAGGTCCATGCCCTTGACCAGAATCGAACCCGGGACCTTTCAGTCCCCAGGCCGACGCTCTATCCACTGAGCCACACCGGCTTCGGCCGCTCCTTTTTACTTTTTAAAAACGTGTTTCTTGGTGTCCGAGAGGAAGGGAGAGAAAGAGAGAGAAACATCCATAAGGAGAGAGTCACGGACCGGCTGCCTCCTGCACGCCCCCCGCTGGGGATGGAGCCCGCCACCCGGGCCTGTGCCCCGACTGGGAATCGAACCCTGACCTCCTGGGTCCTAGGTCGCCGCTCAGCCGCGGAGCCACGCCGGCCGGGCATCCGTCTCGTTCTCGTCGGTGCCTTTGCTGTCTCCGTACTGACCGGGGCGGCGGTTCTGTGGCCACGGCGGCTGCCCGCCCGCCCCCTTGGCGAGGCGGCAGAGGCGGGGCGTGCTGGGGGGACCCTCCCCTCCCCCCCCATGCTGAGAGACCCCCCGCCTGTCCCAGCACCGCCCCCCCCCACGCCCCGCCCTCGAGGTGATGTCCTGAGCTCCGTTGTCTGACTCTCCTGACAGCTGGGACCTGCCAGGCCGCCCGCAGGCCCCCGCCCGGGCGTCCCTGCCCCGCGCCCGTCCCGGGAGGCCGCCATGGAGAGCAAGGACGAGGTCAGCGACACGGACAGCGGCGTCATCCTGCAGTCAGGTGGGCGGCCGGGGTCTGAGCCGCAGGCCGGGGCCGGGTGGGGGTGCTCTGGGCTGAGGGTGGAGGGGTGGGGGGGTCCGGGGAGGGGGGGTGTTTCTTTTCTCCTTTTTAAAAATATATTTTTACTGGTTTCATAGAGGAAGGGAGAGGAGAGAGAGAGAGAGAGAGAGAGAGAGAGAGAGAGAGAGAGAGAGAGAGAGAGAGAGAAACATCCATGAGGAGAGAGGATCATGGACCAGCTGCCTCCTGCACGCCCCACCCTGGGGATGGAGCCCGCAACCCGGGCCTGTGCCCTGAGCGGGAATCGAACCCTGACCTCCTGGTTCAGAGGTCGACGCTCAGCCAGGGAGCCACGCCGGCCGGGCTGGGCAGTGTTTCTGGCCGGAGGGGCTTGGTCTGGATCCTGGTGCGCCTTCGGCATTGGTGCCAGTGAGGCCGGGGTGAAAACTCCACCCTGTGTCCTGAGGGCCCAGGCAGGGGGCGGGCGAGAGCGAAGAGGCCACACGCGTGTGCATGCGCGCGCACACACATGCACGCACACGCACAGACATGGGCACACACCCGTACACATGCCAGCCCAGTGTGCACGCCGGCGCGTGCATGCTGTACACGCATGTGCGTGTACTGGTCCCCCACGGGGGGTCCGGACGCTCTGACGGGCCCCCTGAGCGCCCCCCCCCCCCGCCCGCAGGCCCGGACAGCCCGGTGTCCCCGCTGAAGGAGCTGACCCACGCCGTGCGCCGGCAGCAGCGGGCCCTGGAGCAGCGGCTGGAGGCCTGCCTGGAGGAGCTGAGGCGGCTGTGCCTGCGGGAGGCGGTGAGGGCGCCCCCCGCTGGCTCCTCCGGAGCCGCCGTGGGAGCCTGGGGCGGAGGGAAGGGGGTGTTGGCAGTCAGAAGGGCCGGGGGGGGGTGGGAGGCAGGGTGCCTGGCATCCTGGGTGCAGGCACTCATGGTGGGGGGGGGGTCCCAGTGCTGCGGGGGGTGGGGACCCAGCAGACAGAGGGGGCAGCTCAGAGCGGCGAGCGAGGAGGCTTGAAGGGGGTCAGAGGGCAGGGGCAGTGAGACCCTGGAGAAGGGCTTGGGGGGCTTGGGGAGAACTAGGGGGCAGAGCTGGGGGGACAGTCTCCTCCCTAACCCCAACCCCTAACCCTAACCCCTGACCCCTAACCTTAATCACTAACCCTAACCCCTAACCCCCAACCCTGACCCTAACCCGGGTAGGGTTAGGGGTTAGGGTTAGGGTTAGGGTTAGGGTCAGGGTTAGGGTTAGGGTTAGGGTTAGGGTTAGGGTCAGGGTTAGGGTTAGGGTTAGGGTTAGGGTTAGGGATTAGGGTCAGGGTTAGGGGTTAGGGTTAGGGGTCAGGGTTAGGGGTTAGGGTTAGGGGTCAGGGTTGGGGGTTAGGGTTAGTGGTTAGGGTTAGGGGTCAGGGTTAGGGTTAGAGGTTAGAGGTTAGGGGTTAGGGTTGAGGTTAGAGGTTAGGGGTTTGGGTTAGGGGTTAGGGTTTAGGGGTTAGGATTAGGGTTAGGGGTTAGGGTTAGGGTTAGGGTTAAGGTTAGAGGTTAGGGTTAGAGGTTAGGGGTTAGGGGTTAGGATTAGTGGTTAGGGTTAAGGTTAGGGGTTAGGGGTTAGGGGTTAGGGGTTAGGGTTAGGGTTAGGGTTAGGCTGGGCCGGTGGGGGCCTGGCTTGACCCCACTTCCTCCCAGGAGCTGACGGGCGTCCTGCCGGCCGAGTACCCCCTCAAACCTGGGGAGACAGCCCCCAAGGTCCGGCGCAGGATCGGGGCTGTGTACAAGCTGGACGAGCAGGCCCTGCTAGGGGAGGTGAGCGAGCTGGGCCTCTCCCACTGGAGGGGGAGGAGGCGGGCCCGGGTCCCTCCCCCGGTGTCGGCGGTCTCCACCCACCACGCCCGTGGGTGCCGGCTCCGTGGACGAGCCACAGGGGTGTGGCGGCGGCGTGGGCGGCGGGGGAGGGGCCCGGAGCAGGACAGCGGGGCTCCGGGAGGCCGGGTTCGGGAACCGCTGGCCCAGGGAGAGGCCGCCGTTCAGACAGGCCCGGCCTGGGCAGGTGGGGGCGTGGCCCGTCCTCGGAGGCAGCTGTCCCTGGGGCGTGAGTGGCTGCCCCGCCCTCCCCTCCCGCCCCCCTCCGGGCTCACCTGCCCAGCCCTTCGGGGTCAGGAGGGAAAGTGCCCCACTTGGCTGGGAACCCCGCCCGGCTCCGCCTGCAGTGGGTGGGTCCCAGGCCAGCCTTTCTGGCCGACGGCTTAGCTCCTGGCACCTCCCGGCCCTCCACCCTCTGCCCCGCACGGCAGGCCAGGGCCGGGATCCAGGGTCCTGACTACACTGCACACAAAGAGGGCCCTGGGGGAGCACCTGGAGGCCTGCCTGGAGGAGGAGGACTGTCCTCAGTGACTCCAGGGACCTTAGGCCTCCTGTTCCCAGCTCACCGCCCCCCCACAGGATCCCCGAGCAGCCTGGAGTGGAGCAGGAGCTGGCCCTGCAGCTGCAGATCTCGGAGGCCTGCCTGGAGGAGGAGGACTGTCCTCTGTGACTCCAGGGCCCCCTTTCCAGGCCGCCTGTTCCCAGCTCACCGTCCTCTCCCCCCGCCCCCCCCCCAGGACCCCCTGAGCAGCCTGGAGCAGGAGCTGGCCCTGCAGCTGCAGATCTCGGAGGCCTGCCTGGAGGAGGAGGACTGTCCTCTGTGACTCCAGGGCCCCCTTTCCAGGCCGCCTGTTCCCAGCTCACCGCCCTCTCCCCGCCCCCCCCCAGGACCCCCTGAGCAGCCTGGAGCAGGAGCTGGCCCTGCAGCTGCAGATCTCGGAGGCCTGCCTGGAGGAGGAGGACTGTCCTCTGTGACTCCAGGGCCCCCTTTCCAGGCCGCCTGTTCCCAGCTCACCGCCCTCTCCCCGCCCCCCCCCAGGACCCCCTGAGCAGCCTGGAGCAGGAGCTGGCCCTGCAGCTGCAGATCTCGGAGGCCTGCCTGGAGGAGGAGGACTGTCCTCTGTGACTCCAGGGCCCCCTTTCCAGGCCGCCTGTTCCCAGCTCACCGCCCTCTCCCCGCCCCCCCCCAGGACCCCCTGAGCAGCCTGGAGCAGGAGCTGGCCCTGCAGCTGCAGATCGCCGAGGCCTCGCGGCGCCTGAGCCGGGAGGAGAAGCTGAGCCGGCAGGCCCGGCGGCAGCGCAGGCACGCGGTGCTGAGGGAGGAGGAGAAGCTGCGGGCGCTGGAGCGCTGCCTGGGCGAGCAGCGGCGCCACCGGGGCTCCCTGCCGCCCGCCGGCCTGCCGCTGGGCCGAGGTGCGTCCGGCCGGCCGGCCCCGGGGCTGCCGGGGGGGGGGGCCCGTGCTGACCTCTGCCTCCCCCACGCCCCAGCGAGACCTGCCCCCAGCTCCTCAGCGTCCCCTCCCTCCCTCCCTCCCTTCCTTCCTTCCTCCCTCCCTCCCTCCCTCCCTCCCTCCCTTCCTTCCTTCCTTCCTTCCTTCCTTCCTTCCTTCCTTCCTTCCTTCCTTCTTTTAAAAAAAATATATTTTATTGATTTTGTACAGAGAGGAAGGGAGAGAGAGAAACATCGATGAGAGAGAGTCATCGATCAGCTGCCTCCTGCACGCCCCCCACTGGGGATGTGCCCGCAACCAAGGTCCATGCCCTTGGCCGGAATCGAACCCGGGACCCTTCAGTCCCCAAGCCGACGCTCTATCCACTGAGCCACACCGGTCCCGGCCTTCCTTCTTCTTCTGTCTCAATCCGCCCCCTCCCATCCCCCGGGCGGACCCGGAGAGAATTCAAGAGCCTCACCCACGGGTGCCCGTCTGTCCCCCCCAGCCCTCCAGGCCCAACCAGAACGGAAGTCGGTCCTGGATCCTAGCTCCCCACCTGGTTTCCTTTCTGACCGCCACGTCCCAGATCCCCACCCAGGGCCGGTTTCACACGCAGACCCACCTGCCGCGGGACCTGCCGGGAAGGGGGCAGGGGAAGGGCAGGGCAGGGCAGGGGCAGGGCAGGGGCAGGGCAGGCCGGCTGCCCCCGATGTGGATGCGGATGTGGGTGGGTGTTGATGGGGTTCCTCACCCCCATCTCTTCTCCGGCCTCTGTCCTCCCAGAACTCAGTGTCTCGGACGACAGCTCGCTCTCCGATGGGCTGCTCCTGGAGGAAGGTGAGGGGCCGGGGGCGAGGCTGGGGGTGCGGGGGAGACGCGTGTCAGACAAGACCCGGGTCCCGGCCCAGCCGATGACGGGGCCTGCAGGGGGGACGGCCCAGCCGATGACGGGGCCTGCAGGGGGGGCGGCGGGAGCAGCTGGGGAGGCGGCTGCCCCGCTGGCCGTCGCTGGTGGCTCTGCCCGGCCCCCGCTCAGGGAGATGGCCCTCGCTTTCTCTGGACGCTGGGTCCTTTTCACAGGAAACGGGGTCAGCTCTTGCCCGGCCCCAGGCCTCTCGCCTCTGTCCTGCACCCTTTTTCTTTTCTCTTTTTTTTAAATATGCATTTTATTGATTTTTTTTTTTAAGAGAGGAAGGGAGAGGGAGAGAGAGTTAGAAACATCGATGAGAGAGAAACATCCATCAGCTGCCTCCTGCACGCCCCCCACTGGGGATGTGCTCGCCACCAAGGTCCATGCCCTTTGACCGGGAATCGAACCCGGGACCCTTCCCTCCTCAGGCCGACGCTCTATCCACTGAGCCAAACCATTCAGGGCTTTTTTTTTTTTTTTTTTCCTTTTTAAATATATTTTTTTTGTGGATTTCAGGGAGGAAGGGAGAGGGAGAGGGAGAGAAACATCCCCGATGACAGAGAATCACGGACCAGCTGCCTCCTGCACAGGCCACACACTGGGGATGGAGCCCGCCACCCGGGCCTGTGCCCTGACCGGGAATCGAACCCTGACCTCCTGGTTCCTAGGCCCAGGCCCAACCACTGAGCCACACGGGCCGGGGCTGGGGCCTTTATTTCAAGGGGCACCTGTGTGAGCCGAAGAGCCCTCTGGCAGTCACTGCCCGCGGGGTGCGGGGCGCAGGGCACAGGGCGCAGGAAGTGGGAGTCCTAGATTAGGAGCCCTGGCTCCGAGCCCCAGGGATGTGGGGGTTCAAGGTGAGGGAGGTGTGCGGTCCCGCCCAGGGAGTGCCGAGTCAATAAGGAACCGGCACGCGGGCACGGCGGGGGCGAGAGGAGCAGGCACACGGGCGGGCGCAGCAGCAGGAGCAAAGGTTAGACGCGGAGCTGGGAGCCCGGGAGAGGCCGTCAGGGCGGGGCAGGGGGAGGGGGTGGGAAGGAGGCAGGCGTAAAACGGGGCTGGTGGGGGAGGGGGTTCGGTCCCGAAGGAGAAGTCATTAAAAAAGTATATATTTTTTGCCGGGACCGGTTTGGCTCAGTGGAATTAGCGTCGGCCTGGGGACTGAAAGGTCCCGGGTTCGATCCCGGTCAAGGGCATGTACCTTGGTTGCGGGCGCATCCCCAGTGGGGGGTGTGCAGGAGGCAGCTGATCGATGATTCTCTCTCATCGATGTTTCTAACTCTCTATCCCTCTCTCTTCCTCTGTGAAAAATCAATAAAATATATTAAAAAAAATGTTTTTTAATTGATGTCAGAGAGGAAGGGAGAGGGAGAGAGAGAAACACATCCGTGAGGAGAGGGAATCGTGGATCGGCTGCCTCCTGGTCGCCCCACACTGGGGGTCTAGCCTGTAAATCAGACATGTGCCCTGGGAATCGAACCCAGGACCCTTCTGTCCACGGGCCAATGCTCGGTCTATGGAGCCGAACCAACGGGGGCGAGAATAAGTCCTTTTATTAAAAAAAAAAAAAAAAAAAAATACGCCGAAACCGGTTTGGCTCAGTGGTAGAGTGTTGGTCTGTGGACTGAAAGGTCCCGGGTTCGATTCTGGTCAAGGGCATGTACATTGGTTGCAGGCACATCCTCGGTGGGGGGTGTGCAGGAGGCAGCTGGTCGATGTTTCTCTCTCATCAATGTTTCTATCTCTCTATCTCTCTCCCTTCCTCTCTGTAAAAAAATCAATAAAATATATTTTTTTAAAAACACATTTTTGTTGATTTCAGAGAGGAAGAGGAAGAGAGAAAGGATGAGAGAGAATCACAGATCAGCTGCCTCCTGCACACACACACCTCCTAGGGGAGATGGAACCTGCCACCTGGTCATGTGCCCTTGGCCGGAATGAAACCCTGGATCCTTCAGTCCACAGGCTGACGCTCCATCCACTGGACCACACCAGCCAGGGCCAGAAGTCATTTAAAAAAAATTATATAAATATATATATATTATTGATTTTTACAGAGAGGAAGGGAAAGGGATGGAGTTAGGAACATCCATGATGAGAGAGAAACACCGATCAGCCGCCTCCTGCACGCCCCCTACTGGGGATGTGCCCGCAACCAAGTCCTTGCCCTTGACCGGAATCGAACCTGGGACCCTTCAGTCTGCAGGCCGGCGCTCTATCCACGGCCTGGCCGGGCCGGCTCCCTGGCGGCTGCCGTCACCAGTGTCCTCTCTCTGCAGAGGAAGCCCAGGCACCCAAGCCGGCCCCGGCGTCCGAGGCCCCGAGCCCCGAGGGGCCGCCGCCCGCCGGCCCTGAGCCCGGCGCCCTGGACCCCGCGCCCATCCAGAACGGCCCCTGGAAGGAGACCAGCCTGGACCAGCCCTACGAGAAGCCGGCCAAGTCCTCGGACCCCAGCAGCGAGTCCAGGTGAGGCGGGCGGGCGGGGAGGGCCGGGAGGGGGGGCAGGGCTGGTGGAGAACCCCGGTCTCGGGCTGCGGCCTGTGGGATTCGGGGGGCCCCCCGAGCCCCGAGATCCCCGCCCTGACCCCCGTCTCCGGTCTCTCTATAGCAGCACGGCCTCCACGCCCCAGGACGGGCCCAGCACCCCAGGCCTGTGGCTGCCCGAGCCCCCCTCCTTCCCGGGGGGCCCCGTCCGCGGAGTCCCGGGGCCCAGGCAGGGCCGAGCCAGCGCCCCCGCCACCCCCACCACTCCCACCGCGCAGGGCAGGCGAGGCCAGGCGCCGGCGCTGAGGTGAAGGGGGGATCCCCCAGGGAGCTCACGTGGTCGGGCGGCGGGTCCTGGACAGGAGGGGCCGGGTCGGGGGGTGTGTGTGGCCAGGGACTTCACAGATGCTGAGCCGCGGCCTGGCAGCCACAGGCCAGGCGTCCGCGAGGCCTCTCATTCATGTTATTTTTATTATGTTTTTAAAAATATATTTTATTGATTTTTACAGGGAGGAAGGGAGAGGGGTAGAGAGAGTTAAAAAACACCAATGAGCGCGAGAGACATCCATCAGCTGCCATCTGCACGCCCCCCGCTGGGGATGTGCCCGCAACCAAGGTCCATGCCCTTGACCGGAATCGAACCCGGGACCCTTCCGTCCGCAGGCCGGCGCTCTATCCACTGGGCCACACCGGTTTCACCTTTATTATTATTATTTTTTAATTGATTTCAGAGAGAGAGAGAGAGAGAGAGAGAGAGAGAGAGAGAGGGAGAGAGAGAGAGAGAGAAACATCCATGAGGAGAGAGCATCACGGACCGGCTGCCTCCTGCACCCCCCTCACTGGGGATGGAGCCCACAACCCGGGCCTGTGCCCTGACCGGGAATCGAACCTGTGACTTCTTGGTTCATTGGTTGATGCTCCACCACTGAGCCACACAGGCCGGCCGGGTTTGCATGGCGTCATTTCAGGGAGATCTGAGCCAGGGCCTGGCCTGTGCCCTCCCCACTCAGGTGTCTATCTCCCCCGCCCCCCAGGATGGACTCCTTCCGGGCAGGCCCCCGCCGCCGCCCCACGCACTACACGGTGACCGTGCCCAGCTCCTGCTGGCCGCCGAGCGGCCCCCCGCGGCCGCCCCCCGCCCCCCACTCCTGCTCGGAGGACAGCGGCTCTGACGGCTCCTCCAGCGTGTCCCACGCCACCTCCCCCGGCAGCAGCAGCCCGGACCTGTACAGCCTGAGGCCGCTGTCCCCGCCCGGGACCCCGGGCCGCCGCGGGGGCTGGGCCCCGGCCGCCCCCCGCCCGAACCTGCTGCTGCCGCCGCCCCCCGGGCCCCCCTTCCCGGCCGCGCCCCCCTTCCCGGCCGGCCGCTACGTGCTGGTGGCCGAGGGCCGCCTGCCCCCGGGCGGCGGCGGGGAGCCGGACCTGGGGGCCCCCGAGGAGGAGGAGGGGGGGCTGGCCCTGCGCCTGCAGCAGCTGCAGCAGCTGCAGCAGCACCTGCGCCCGCGGGGCCGCCTGGCCCGGGCGCCCTCGCTCAAGGACAGCCCCGCCGGCCGGGCCCTGTGCCGCGCGGCCGTCACCCAGGAGCTGCAGTCCTGGCAGGAGCGCGTCCGCATGCGGGGGGCCCGCCCCCAGTCCCTGGACCGCCAGGGCGCCTTCCGCGTGCGCAGCCTGCCCCCCGGGCGCGGCCTGGGGCCCCGGGCGCAGGTGAGGGGGGTCCAGGTGAATGGGGAGGGGGACATGAGGGAGGGGGGACCCGAGGGAGGGGGGCTGGGTGAGGGGGGGCCTGGGGGAGGGGGGAGGGGAACATGAGGGAGGGGGGACCCGGGGGATGGGGTACCGGGGGAAGGGGAACCGGGGGAGGGGGGGACCCGGTGAGGGGGGTACGTGGGTGAGGGAGGGGCTCTGGGGAGGGTCGCCAGGCCTCCAGTTGAGAAGGCGCCCAGGCCAGCAGGTCCCAGAGTAGAGTGGGGTGCACCAGCACCCCCATCCCCACAGGCCCCGCCCCCCTCTGCCGGCTGCTGCCCAGGTCCGGCCGCACCCTCTGTTCTCCCTCCTGCGAGCTGGGACCTGCCCTGGGCCCGGCCCACCCACCCCAACCTGTCAGACCGGGAGGGGCGAGGCCCGAGCCCAGGAGGCGGGCAGGAGGTCAGGGTGCCGGGCACGCCCCACGGACGGCGGACGTGGGTGAAGGACTGTCCCCGGGGAGAGGCGGCCTCCTGGGTGGGCCGGGGCTGCGGACCACGGGGTCTTTTTTTTTTAAATCCTCCCCCGAGAATATTTCCCCACTGATTTTTAATTTATTTTAAACATATATTTTATTCTTTTTTTTTTTTTTTTTTTTTTTTTACAGAGAGGAAGGGAGAGAGAGTTAGACACATCGATGAGAGAGAAACACCCATCCGCTGCCTCCTGCACACCCCCCACCTGGGGATGTGCCCGCCACCAAGGTCCGTGCCCTTGACCGGAATGGAACCCGGGACCCTTCAGTCTGCAGGCCGACGCGCTATCCACTGAGCCACACCGGCCAGGGCTCCCATTGATTCTCAGAGGGAGGGAGAGAGAGAGAGAAACATCGATGTGAGAGAGACATGCCGATGGGTTGCCTCCTGCAGGCGCCGGGACCAGGGAGGACCCTGCCGCCGAGGTCCAGGCCCTGGACCGGAATCGAGCCCGGGGGGCCCTTCGGTCTGCAGGCCGATGCTCTAGCCACGGAGCCACCCCGGCCGGGGCCGCCAGGGGGACCCTAAGGACGGGGAGGTGCCCTGGGCACGCGGCCAGGTGCCAGGACCCGGCCGCCTGGGTGCTCACCCCCTCCCCTCTGCCTCCGCCCGGCAGGTGCCCACGGTGTGCGTGCTGCGCCGGTCGCCGGAGGGGGCCCCCGTGCAAGTGTTTGTGCCGGAGAACGGGGAGATCATCAGCCAGGTGTAGCGCCCGGGGCGCCCGTGCCTCCCGCCGCCATCGCCGCCGGGCCCCGCCCGCCCTGTGCCTTCTGCAGCCCCGCCCCGTCGCAGGCCGAGGCCCGGAGCTGAGACCTTGGTTCCCCCGGTTTTTGTTCAGACGCCTCGAGGTCTTCGGTGGCCGCCGGCCCTCGCGCTCCCTGTCGGGGGCCACGCTGGAGGCCTCAGACCCGCCGGCTGGGCGTGGGCCCCCCCTGAGCCCCACGAGAGGCGGGACGGAGGCAGCCGGGCAGGGGGGCCCCTGGGGTCCCCGATGCTCGCCCTCTGACCCCGAGGGTGGCCCCCCGGAGAACGGCGGGGCCCCCTGGCCCCCGTGGCTGGTGGACACCTCCCCTCCCCCGCCCCCCAGCCCTCGGGGTGCCGGGCTGGGGAGCGCCCCCTACACTGTGCTCTGTGATGCACGCACCTGGGGAGGGTCGAGGACTGTCTTCCCTGACACCCCCCCAGCTTCACGCGCCCCCCCCTCTGGCCCGGTCACTGTCCGCCCTCAGGGCCTGTGGGCTCCTGCACCTCCTACCTCTGACGGAGCCCCGGGTTCGAGGCTCCACGCTGCACTGGAGCGAGGCTTGGCCTGGGACCGCCTTGTCGAGGCCTCGTCGCCCTCGACCCCAAACCTGCACAAATGTGTTGGGAGGCCCCCTCTCCGTGGCGCGGCCTCCGGCGGGCGTGGGGTCCCAGCTCCTCTGCACCCCCCAGCACCCCGAGAACGGACGTCCTCATGATCCCGGGCGGGCGTCACCCCCTGAAGGGGCGGAGGGTCCCAGCCGCCCAGCGTGGGCAGGCCGGGGGGCTGCCGGGCTGAGCCCCTCGGAGGGGGCCGCAGGGGGTGACACCCGGGTGGGGGGCCCGGAGCCCAGGGCGGGGGGAGGGGGCCCTGGTTCTGATTCTGCCCCCCCCACAGACCCTCCCCCTCCGCATCCCCGTGCTCGGTCGGCGGCGGCTGCCGATACATCAGGGGCTCCCAGGAAAGGGGCGCCTGACCCCCCAAGAAGCCCCGGTCTCCCCGCTGGACAGAGAGCCCGGGGGGCCGTCGGGGGGCCGTCGGGGGGCGGGGCGGCACCTGCATGTCCGATGTCCCAGTTTGGATGCTGTTCTTGTCCGTTGGTCTCTGAGCCCCTCCCTCTCCCTCTCGCTCTCCCTTCCGGTGTCCTGGGGCTGCAGAGCCAGGAGCCGCCTGCGCCCCGCCCCCCGCCCCCCGCACCCCTGCGCGTCCCCGCTGTTAACTTATTGGTCCCGTGAGCAGCCGGCGCGCCCCGGGCGGTGGGGAGCGCCGAGTGGAATTCAGTGCCAAATACGCCAATAAAGTCTGGTTTCCTCCGTGCTCCGCGAGCTGGCCGGTGCTTTTATTAATTAAGAAATGCGTGCTTTTATTTATTAAGAAATGCGTCTTTATTTATTCCAGAGGGGGGGGGGGAGAGACATCCGTGGTGCGAGGGCATCGCGGACCGGCTGCCTCCTGCAGCCCCCCGCGCGGGATCCAGCCCGCCCCCCCGGCCTGTGCCCTGACCCCCGGGAATCGAACCCTGACCCCACATGGGACCGAGCCCACAGCCCAGGCCTGTGCCCTGACCCCCGGGAATCGAACCCTGACCCACATGGGACCGAGCCCACAGCCCAGGCCTGTGCCCTGACCCCCGGGAATCGAACCCTGACCCACATGGGACCGAGCCCACAGCCCAGGCCTGTGCCCTGACCCCCGGGAATCGAACCCTGACCCACATGGGACCGAGCCCACAGCCCAGGCCTGTGCCCTGACCCCCGGGAATCGAACCCTGACCCACATGGGACCGAGCCCACAGCCCAGGCCTGTGCCCTGACCCCCGGGAATCGAACCGTGGCCGCCTGGGTCACAGGCGGACGCTAACCACTGAGCCACGCCAGCCGGGCCCTGCAGGGTGCTCGGTGCCAAGGACCCCTGGGTGGCCGGGGGCTGGGCAGCCGGGGGCTGGACGGGTGGGAGGGGCCCTCGGGGAGGTCAGAGGTCTCCCTGAGGGTGGGGGGCGGGGGTGAGATGGGGGAGCAGGGGCCGAGGGGGCAGCCGCGGGGGAGGGGCCCAGGCGGGGGCCGGCCGTGGTCCCTGTGGGTGTGGAGCCTCCGGCTCCTCCCGCCCTGCAGGGGCCGCCCCAGCACCCCGCACGGCGCCCCCTGCGGCCGGCAGGCCTGTCCCCGGGAGCGAGCAGCTGAGGAGCCAGCGTGGCAGGTAGCGGGGGGCCCCGGGCGGCCCCGGCGGGCGGGCGGGGGGCCCCGGTCCCTGGGCAGAGGGGGTGGCGGGCGGGCGGGGGGCCACGGGGCCAGGCTCACCCACCCGCTCCCCCGGGGACCAGGGCCCTGGCTTTGGGGGGACCTGGCGGGCTGAGGCCTGGGGGGCCCAACTCCGGGGCCTCTGGGGACGTGGGGGCCTCCGGTTCCCAGGCCCAGGCCCCTCAGTGCAGCTGCATTGTGGGTAATGAGGCGCGGGTTCAAGGACTGGAGACGAATGTGACCGGCAGGTGCCCGGCCACCGGCCAGGCCTCGACCGGCTCCGGGGGGCCCCCCCCAGGGGTTCCTAAGGGGGTGGGGGCTGGGGGGCCCCCCCAGGGGCTCCTAAGGGGGGGGCTGGGGGGACCCCCAGGGGCAACTAAGGGGGTGGGGGCTGGGGGGCCCCCCCAGGGGCCCCTAAAGGGTGGGGCTGGGGGGACCCTCACCCCAGGGGCTCCTAAGGGGTGGGGCTGGGGGGACCCTCACCCCAGGGGCTCCTAAGGGGGTGAGGGATTGGGGGGACCCCCCCGAGGGGCTCCTAAGGGGGATGTGCCCGCCACCAAGGTCCACGCCCGTGACCGAAATCGAACCCGGGACCGGGGGGTGGGGGGGGATGGTGCAGGAGGCGGCGGAGAGATGTTTCTCTCTCATCGGTGTTTCTCGCTCTCTCTCCCTCCCCCTTCCTCTCTGTAAAAAATCAATAAAACATATTAAAAACCAAAAACCAAATAAGAGTCGATGTGAGAGAGACACACCCATTCGTTGCCTCCCGCCCGCTCCCTGGCCTGGGGGAGGGGATCAAGTTCGTAACCAAGGTCCATGCTCTTGACCGGGAATCGAACCCGGGACCCTTTGGTCTGCGGGCCGACGCTCTGACCGCTGAGCTGCCCGCCGGTCTGAGGGCCCCGGGGGAGCTGGGTGAGCTGGGGCCTTTGGAGGGTCCGTGACTTCCTCTCCTCGCCCGGCCCAGCGCCTGCCTCCCGCGTCCTCGCCTCCTGGAAGGAGTGTCCGTCCGCCCGCCCGCCCGCCCGCCCGCCTGCCCCCGGCTCCGGCGTCCGTCCTCGGGAGCTGCAGGCCGCCGCCCGCCGATGAACCGGAACCCCGGCGGGCAGAGGGTCAGCAGGGTGTACTTCTCCAAGCCCCGGAGGCGTGCACCCTGCCTGCCCAACCTGGCCGGTGAGCATCGCCCACCAGGCCCAGCCCAGGGCAGGGCGCCACGGCCACGGCCACGGCCGCCGCCCGCCCGTCCCGGCCCAGGGCAGGGCTCCTCGGCCACGGCCACCGCCCGCCCGCCCTCCGGAGAGAGGACCCCGGCCGGCCGGCCCTCCCGGCTCCGGCCTCCGCAGGCCTGGCCCTTCTCAGTCCTGGCTGCTTGAGACTCAGGAGCTGGGGGTGGGGGAGGACCAGGACACTGCCTGGGCTCAGGGGGAGACCCCCCCAGCGGCCCACCTTTTGGGGGACCCAGTTGCACCCAGGTTCCCCCCTGTGCCCAGGACTCCCGAGTCAGCGGCTGAATTTCAAACTCCGTTTTCCCATCCTCACCTGAGGCTCTGATCCCCACTGATTTCTGGAGAGAGAGAGAGAGAGAGAGAGAGAGAGAGAGAGAGAGAGAGAGAAGAAGGTCAATAATGAGAGAGAATCGTGGATCGGCTGCCTCCTGCACACCGCCCATAGGGGATGGAGAGAGAGAGAGAGAGAGAGAGAGAGAGAGAGAGAGAGAGAGAGAGAGAGAGAGAAACGTCAATAATGAGAGAATCGTGGATCAGCTGCCTCCTGCACGTCCCCCACAGGGGATGGAGAGAGAGAGAGAGAGAGAGAGAGAGAGGAACGTCAATGATGAGAGAGAATCGTGGACCGGCTGCCTCCTGCACGCCCCACATTGGGGATCGAGCCCCCATCCCGGGCCTGTGCCCCAATCGGGAATCGAACCCTGACCTCCTGGTTCCTAGGTGGACGCTCAGCCCCGGAGCCACGCCGGCCGGCTGAGCTGGGGTGTGCAGCCCGTTCACACGTGGGAATGTCGGTGCCCGTGTGGGACCCGCACTGTGGCCACGGGGTGACCCAAGGTCGCCCCCTTCCCGCTGCTCCGTCCCCGGCCGTGCCCGGCGCCCAAACCCCGAACCCGGGCCCCGCGTCCTGTCCTTCCACGGAGCTTCTGCGTCCAGACGGGGCCGCGGGCCTGGAGGAGCTCCTTCTGGAGATGGGTGCCCCCGCCCCCGCCCCGGGGCCCCCGGGTTCCTGGGCCTCCTGGGCGGAGGGCGGGTGGGGGAGACTCGGCCTCAGGGCCGTCTCCGGGGCAGCCGAGCCACCCTCTCGATGACATCCCCGCAGCCCTGCGCCATTCGGAGAGAGAAGCCTACCAGTGCATCCTGGGATTCCTCAGAGGCGGAGAGATGGTGAGAGCTGAGCTGGGAGCAGAACACAGGCCGCCACCTGCTCGCTTGTTTTTAAAATATATATATTTTATTGATTTTTTTACAGCGAGGAAGGGAGAGGGACAGAGAGCTAGAAACATGGATGAGAGAGAAACATCCATCCGCTGCCTCCTGCACGCCCCCCACTGGGGATGTGCCCGCAGCCAAGGTCCATGCCCTTGGCCGGAATCGAACCCGGGACCCTCCAGTCCGCAGGCCGACGCTCTATCCACTGAGCCACACCGGCTAGGGCTCTCTTGTGTTTTTGTTGTTTTTTTTTTGTTTGTTTGTTTGTTTTTTTTGTGTGGGTGTGTTTTCA